GGACCTTAAAGCCCACATTCCTAAATCCATGGGCTGAACAGCTGGGAACACCCTCTGGGATCTGCCCAGGAAGGCCCAAAAATGGAAGAAGGAGGTGTCACCAGAGCAGGAATATCTGTGCAGGACCAGTGCAGGGAGGCGTCTGGGTTTGGACACACAACTGACAGGTTGCCCTGCGTTGTCCTTGCCTCTGTGATTCCCTGTTTCCTCTTCCCCCTTCCCTGGAGATTTCCAGGTAAAATGTGTTATTCTGAGCCCCCTGCACTGGGGTTTAACTGGTCACCAGCTGGGACACACAGGGCTGGTTCCTGCAGGAGGTGTGGACTCCTCCTGCTCCTCCTTGAACTTTAATGGAATAAACCCCAATTAATTTGTGGAATAAACCCTCAAATGTGTCTGATAATGTGGTGACAGCTCTTTTCTCCCTTTCTAAGATGTCACAGATGACTTAATTCTCTGCAAACTCCCCAGAAATGCCCGTGGATAAATCAAGAGGAAGAACCTGGATGCAGGTGATGCATTTCCTGGGATGGTTCCCACCGAAGGAAGTCGGGGAGGGAAGAGGAAAAGTGCCTGAAGGGAGGAAAGGAGGAGTCATAGAATCATGGAATGGTTGGGGTTGGAAGGGACCTTGAAGATCATCCCATTCCAACCCCCTGCCATGGGCAGGGACACCTTCCACCAGCCCAGGGTGCTCCAAGCCCCGTCCAGCCTGGCCTGGGACACCTCAAATCCAGATGGATGCTCAGAACTGGGACAAGGAGCTTTTCCTGTGTAACAGTATGAAAAGTGCACCTGGAGACAAGATCAGAAGTGTCATTTGCTGAGAATGCATTTACTGGGTGTCAGAAAAAGCTGGGAGAGCTGGGATTGTTCAGCTGGACAAGAGAAGCTTTGGGTGACCTGAGTGTGGCCTTGCAGGGCCTGAAGGAGCTCCAGGAAAGATGGAGAGAGACTATTTCCAAGGGCTGGAGGGACAGGACAAGGGGAATGGCTTCAAACTGCCAGAGGGCAGGGTTAGATGGGATATTGGGAAGGAATTCTCGTCTGGGAGGGTGACACCAGCACCCCCAAGTCCTTCTCCATCTGTTCATTCCTAGCCTGGATTGAGATTCCCACGGAGCTTGCCCAGCTCCCTCTGGATGTCTCCCTCCCACATCCCCAGTGAAGCAGGGCCTGACCTCCCACAGCCTCCTGTCCCAGCAGTTTGTGCTGCTCCCTGGAGCAGGTTCTTGAGAAAGGCTCCGTGGAGCTTTCACATGATGCCTCCAGCGGGATCAGGAGATTAGGGAGGGAGTTTTGGGGTGGTGATAACGACGTGTAAAAATGAAACAGGATGCCAGAGCAATATTACATGAGATAACACCAGTTATCAGCTGTAAAAGAATGTTCTGCCTGCTCCTGATTGCCCCTATCTTCTATTTTTATCTGTTTCCTCCTGCTTGTCTCTGTACACGTTTCCAGGTTTAGCAGGTCTGACCCAGCCAGCTGCAAATCAAGATAACACTGATAACTATAAACTTTAAACTCACACACTCGGGCTGGAAAGCGTTTTCCAGCTGGACTCTCGAATCCCAGGGGTTTGACCTCCTGTCCCTGCAGCTCTGAGGGGTTTTGGTGGTACAATGAAGAGCCACCTGCTGTGGGTTCTCCATGAGATGGGAAAGAAGAGCTTGAAGCTCTCCAGGGTGGTGGGAAAAGGGGGGAGGTTCTGCAATGAAGGCAAAGGATGAGCCCTCAATTTGGGCACATCCTGGATTCCTGGGTATGAACCACTTGGAGTCACTCCTGGGCATAGTGAGCTCAAAAAACAACTTTTAAAGTTTGGGCCAAAGAAAATGCAAGAGTTGCTTAATGGGTTTAAAATTCTTCATCCTCCCCAATGAGCAGGAGATCAGAAAACATGAGCTCTGTCTGATGACCAGTTTGTTGCTGGCCTTTGGTCTGTGGCAAAGATGATGAGCAGGTGGACTAATCCCACATTTCTGGGCACTCCTTGGGCACTGGATCATGTTTCTGCCATTACATGAAGTCAGAGATGGGTTCTGTCTCAGCCCAGTGTGGACACTCCCAGGGATCCAGGGGCAGCCACAGCTTCTCTGCCCAACCTGTGCCAGGGCCTGCCCACCCTCCCAGCCAGGAATTCCTTCCCAATCTCCCATCTATCCCTGCCCTCTGGCAGTTTGAAGCCATTCCCTGTGTCCTGTCCCTCCATGCCTTGTCCCCAGTCCCTCTCCAGCTCTCCTGGAGCCCCTTTAGGGGCTCTCAGGTCTCCAAGGATCCTTCTCTTCTCCAGGTGAACGCCCCCAGCTCTCCCAGCTCCTCCAGCCCTGGGATCAATTCAGTGTCCTCTGGGCTCCTTCCAGCAGTTCCATGTCATTTGGGGGGTCACCAAGCCCGAGGTCCCCTCAGGCAGGTGCTGCTGGGGCTGCAGGGGAGAAACCTGGGCAGTTCCTGCCCAAGGGCTGAGCCGGGATCGGGATCGCTGCCCCCGGCACGGAGCCAAACTGGCCTGGGGAGGGGGAAAAACCCCGGGAGCTACTGGAGATGAGGAATTTGCTGCTGCCATTCTGCTGTTTCCCCAGGTCTGGGTGCCCTGGGAGATCTCCCAGCACCTGGCCCTGGTTAATAGGGTGTAGAGGGGACGGCTGAGTGGGTGCCCACAGGTGGGAGCAGCGCCTTGCCCTGAGCTCGTGGAACAGGTTGGGAGATAAAAACAGCAGCTGAGGCCACAAACTGGGCTTGGAATTCATTTATTGCTTCGTACAGGTGAAAAAAAGGGGGGGGTTGGAAGAAGGAACTGCAAGGTAATGTGAAAACCCACAGTGGGAGCCCAGATCTGCCCCCAAGGGTGACACAGGAAAAGCCACATTGAGTTCTGGTGCTTAAATAAATAAAAAGGCAGAGCTGGTAAAATTAAAAGATGGGAATCAAGAAAGGCTGACTGTCACCCTTGTCACAAATAACCACCTTGGAGCTCCTAAAATAAAGTGGGCAGCCAGTGCTTAGACCCAAAATACCCTGAAAACACCCTGGGTGGAGGGAGAGCTGCAGGAGGGAGCCCTTGGAGGAGCTTCATGCTCAAAGGTCTTGATGGAATTACAGGTTTTAATTCATGAAAGGCCGTTTTTGAGGCAAGTTTAAACAAAGTCTTTGCAAGCCACGAACAGGGTGCACAGGGGGATCCCAAAAGAGCAGAGCCTGAGCTGAGAAACCAACATTTCCCCCAAGCTGGGCTTTGCTTTGCATTCCTCTACAGGGGGAAAAGTGCCTCGGATAATGAAGCTGGTGGAGATTTCCCAAGTTGAAAACGTGGGTCTTGCCCTCAGCTTAATGGTAGGCCCTGGATAAAATACTTTTAAAAGAAGCCAAGCCTGCATTCTGAAGGGTTTGAAGCGTTCTGGGAGGGCAAACTTGGCTGGAATGTCACTTAAATGGAAGTGCAGGGATGCAGAAGTGCCTGGGAAAGGGATGTGCTGGCACTGCTGCCCATCCGAACTGCCTGCCTTTGAAGCAGCTGCTCTGCACAACTTTCAAGCCTTTCCCACTTCTCATTCCTCTCCAGGAGCAGAAAATGGGATGTGTGTCTGCAGAGCAGGAATAATTAAAAAAACCCCATTCCTGCCCAGACTGTGGTTTCTGTCATCCCAAACAAAAAAAAAAAAAAACAGGCTTCAAGTTTGAAAAGTTGAGTATTGCAGTGTCCAGGGGGATGTTTCTCCTGTTGATGGAGACAGATGGAAGCTGCTGCCCCAGGAGCTGAGTTTGGCTGCTCTGTGCCCCCTGAGCTCAGCAGACACAGCCCAGGAAGGAGGGATAAGGAAGCCCAAGGGCAGGAAAAGCTTCCTGGCCTGGATTTCGTGTTGGATGCTGCCATGGGTGACAGGGAGCTGCTCCTGGGAGCTCTGAGGTAAGCACAGACATCACCTGTGTGACTGATTAAACACCAGGAACTTGGTGGGATTGCTCTTCCCAGGGTGGAAATTCCCCTTCCCCACCACGGGCTGGAACTGGGCTGCAATAATGAGTTGGGATTGAAACTCTGGGAACGTCACACACTGGGGCTGCTCAACCTTTGGATGTGGATATTGGCCCCAGGATCAACTCCCATCCACGAGGAGAACCAAAAATAACCAGCAAGCCCAGGCTGGGGAACCTGCTGAGAATTAGGATGGTTTAGGTTGGAAAAGCCCTCTAAGATCTCCAAGTCCAACCCTGAGCCCAGCAGTGCCAAGCCCATCTCTAACCCATGTCCCCAAGGGCCACGTCTATTGAAAAATTCCCTCCAAAGTCTTTATTTTGCCACAGAAATAGTTGCCAGAAACAAAACAAAACAAAAAAAGGATTATTTTCCTGATTTATCCCAGAGAAGTGCAGGATTCTGAAAAAAACAGGCAATCCCCAGCATTGTGCACTTCATGGAATTGTTCTGTGCTGGATAAAAAATGCCAAGGAAATATTTCAGCTGCTTTTCCTTGGAGGAAATCGGTCTCACTTGGAAATGACTGTCTAAGCCACGCTTGGAGACTGGGTCCAGTTGGGTTCTAACTGAGTTCTGATTTCACACTGGCAGCACCAGCTTTGGCCTTTTTATAGAATCACAAAACCACAGGCTGCTTTGGGCTGGCAGGGATTTTAGGGATCATCTCCTTCCACCCCCTGCCACGGGCAGGGACACCTTCCACCAGCCCAGCTGGCTCCATGCCCCCATCCAACCTGGCCTTGGGCACTTCCAGGGCTGGAATTTCCTCCTAACACCCCCTCTAACCCCCCCTATTTCAGCTCGGGGCCGCTCCGTGGTGGGTGAAGCTGCTGAGTCCGTGACGTTCCCTCCGCGTGTCCCCTCCTCGGCCTCAGGGTGATTCCAGGAGGCCACCAGGAGCTTCTGCCTGCCCAGCTCCCCCAGCCCCACCAGCTTCACCCCCAGCTCGGGGTCGTTCAGCCGCCTCGAGGCTAAGCAAGGCCCTCACGAGGTCCCACCGTCCGTCCCCACCGTCCCCCTAGGACGATTTTTCCTGGGGGATCTGCACCGCCGGCTGCTCCACGGCCAGCTGGTTGTCCAGGACGCAGCACAGCTTGCAGCTCTCCAGCACCCTGGCCTGGAACTGCTGCCTGTCCCTCCTGCGCCAGCGCTCGGCGGCACCGCGGGCGTCGTGGGGCTCGGGGGAGCCGCGCGAGCGCAGGTTGGTCACCAGCACCCCCACCGTGAAGAAGCCGAAGAGCCCCACCATGAGCAGCACGTAGATGATCTCCAGGCTGCTGCCACCGGCCCTGGCCTGGGCTGGGGTGGAGCTGTTGCTCCGCTCCAGGCAGTGCTGGAGCAGCTTGGACAGGAGCAGGTCCAGGGCCGTGTGGTTGGATGGCACCAGCATCTCGCTCCTCCCGCCGCAGCTTGTCTGGAAAAGGGATAAAAATCAGGGTGTCATTCCTTCTGGAGGTGACAGAACTCCCCTCACGACTATTCCTCATTAATCAGTTTTAATTCACCTTTCTAATTAATCTCTTTAATTGCTCGTAAGCCGGGTCGTTTCCCGCCCCCGTCACGTCCTTTTGATGAGGTTTTGCCACCACGAGCTGCTGTTGTGGGAACTGAACATTTCAGTTTTGCTGAAGCAGCTGCAGCCAAACTTCGTGGGCTTCAGTGATCTCAGGCCTAGGGGGAGATTAACAAAGCCTGGCAGGGAGATGTTGCTGCAGCCTGGACACGAGGAACGCTCTGTGGGACAGGGGGAGATGGTTGGGGTGTCCTGGGCAGGGCCAGGGCTTGCACTGGATGATCCTGGGGGTCCCTCCCAGCCAGGATATTCAGTGATTCCATGAATCCATGATTTCTATGACCCCCCCACACTCTGCTTCTGGCTTTGCATATTGTGGTCGTGGCTTCCCTCAGTTCTTCTCTGCTTGCCATTTAAAGATTGGATTTGGAGACAAAACTTCTCCACCCGAGTTTTGGTGAGTGGAAATCTCTCAGTAGCCTCAGCAAACCCTTCCTCCTCCCCCTGTGGAGGGGCCTGGCCTTTCTTCTGCAGCTCCAGCCTGAAACACACCCTGCAAACCCCCCCCCCCGACAGGAATGGATCCCACAGTCAACATTCCAAGGGGCATGGAATGCCACAGGGAATGGACACAGAGGGAGGCTGGAGACACTGCCTGCCCAGCAGGGGAAAGGGAAAGCACCTTCTTCATCCTCCTTCCCACACCTCCTTCATCATCCTTCCCACAGCAGGACCAGGGTTCGTTGCCTTCCCCTCCAAATTAAATTGTTGTGTTTTGGTGTTTAGGAGGATTTCCCTGGAATGAGTACAGCTCAGGACTGGGGCAGGAGATGGGAACACCCAGAAGCACCTGGATGCCCAAAGCCTTCTGGTCAGAGCCCTGGAGCTGGAGGGTCCTTTTCCACTTTCCAGTGGCAGCTGTAACTCAGTCAGGCAGAGGATTCCTGTCAGCACTGCATTCCCACAATCCTGTCAGCACTGCATTCCCAGATCCTCAGCAGCCAGGGAACATAAAATCATGGAATCATTGAATGGTTTGGGTTGGAAGGGACCTTAAAAGTCATCCCATCCCACCCCCTGCCACGGGCAGGGACACCTTCCACCAGCCCAGGGTGCTCCAGCCCCATCCAACCTGGCCTTGGACACTTCCAGGGATCCAGGGGCAGCCACAGCTTCTCTGGGCAACCTGTGCCAGGGCCTGCCCACCCTCCCAGCCAGCAATTCCTTCCCAATATCCCATCTAATCCCTGCCCTCTGGCAGTTTGAAGCCATTCCCCTTGTCCTGTCCCTCCAGCCCTTGGAAATAGTCTCTCTCCATCTTTCCTGGAGCTCCTTCAGGCCCTGTAAGGCCACACTCAGGTCCCCCCAAAGCTTCTCTTGTCCAGCTGAACAGTCCCAAACTTTCCCAGTCTCTCAAACTTCCCCCAGCCCTGACTGACACCCTCCCTACAGCACCTCTCTGAACTGTGCCTGGAAAACCAAGACAACAATCTGGTTTTGCCCTCAAACCCTAGACTGAGGGGTTGTTACTCAAGGAGATTTCTGTGCCAGGAATCCTGGCATCACCTGAGGGTCCTGCCAGTGCTTTCTGCACCTTTAAATCTGTGGGAGCAGCACCTCAGCAAAACCCTCGTGCTGTTTGGGGGCTGGTTTTTTTTTCTGAGGCACTGCACTGTCCTAATTTCTAATCCATCCTGCAAATGGACCCTGGGGCACAGAGCCAGGAGAAGAGCCTGGGCAGGAGCTGCCTGTCTGGGAGGGGATTTAATGGTGCAGGGATGTTTTCCAGGAGCTCTGCAGAGGAGGGAGCTCAGCTCTAATGACCCTGCAGAGGCTTCTCTGGGTGGTTTGTGCCACGTTATGGCATAAAGGCTGTGACAGGAGATGCTGAGACCAGAGGAAGTGAGATTGGATCTCACACCCCACCATCCTTCCTGTGGAGAACAGCAAAATTTCTTGTTCTGGGGAAAGAAGAGCAGCTGACTGAGAGCACAGTGAGTGCAGATGTGGAGCTGATCCCACCCTCCCACATCAGGGAACAACTTCTAATGCAGCTGCTGGACTGGTTTTTACTCTGAGCCCTTTCCTGGGCATTCCTGGGAGGTTGGGGCTCCCTGAAAGTCAAACCCTCAGCCCAGGGGGATGAATTCTCATGGAATCACACAATGGTTTGGTTGGAAGGGACCTTAAAGCCCATCCAGTGCCACCCCTGCCATGGGCAGGGACCCCTTCCACCAGCCCAGGCTGCTCCAAGCCCCATCCAACCTGGCCTGGGACACTCCCAGGGATCCAGGGGCAGCCACAGCTCCTCTGGAAATTCTATTATAGTCCCTCACCACCCTCCCAGCCAGCAATTCCTTCCCAGTATCCCATCTAAATCTCTACTTTTCCAGTGGGAAGCCATTCCCTGTGTCCTGTCCCTCCATGCCTTGTCCCCAGTCCCTCTCCAGCTCTCCTGGAGCCCCTTTAGGCCCTGGGAGGGGCTCTCAGGTCTCCCTGGAGACTTCTGTTCTCCAGGTGAACCCCCCAGCTGTCCCAGCCTGGCTCCAGAGCAGAGGAATTCCGTGGATTCTCTTTGGAATTCCGTGGATAGAGCCCCGTTCTCCTCCCCACAGAGCCCTGGGGGACACGAGTGGCCCCAGCCCACAGCAGGTGACACCAACCCACCCCTTGGCCACTGGGTGACCACTGGGGGCCCAGGTCAGGCCCAGGTGGGCTCAGCCTCACCCTGCCCCAAACAAGCAGTTCCTGAGACAAGGAAGTCTCTCCTGCAGGAACAACAAGCCCACAATTCCAAAGCCTCAGGATTTTGGCTTTAAACTGAGCCAAGCCAAGCCAAGCCAAACCCCAACACCCCAATCCAATTCTTGTCTTTAGGTGCTTTTAGGAGTCTTTAGGAGTCAAACAGCCTGGGCTGAAGGGTTCAAATCCATCCCCCTTTCCCAGCTCTTTGCAGATCCCTTGGAAAGGAAAAGGAAGTTTCAAACCTTTCTCTGAGGTTCCTCCTCCCGAGAGTGGGGAACAAAACAGAACTGCTGACAAATCACTGCAGAAACTTCAGAGTGAGGGAGGATCTCCCTGGATTCTCAGTATTTTCTCATCATAAAGGCAGGCAATGTTTTCCCATAGCAATTATCAGCAGCAGGTGGTAATTATCAAATAGTTATAAAATCATTTGATATCAATTATCAGTAATTATCAGAGGCTCTTGAGGTGCTGGTGAATTGGCATTTTGGGGCTGGATGTCCTCACCCACCTCCCTGTGTAATCTGGGAGGTTTCTGGGTTGGGAGGTGTTCCCTGAGCCAGGTTTTTCCTGGAAGCTGGTGGGAGCTGAGGGGCCCCACTTCCATATCCGCATCAGGTGGCAAAAACCAGGAGAGGGACACCCAGGAAAGCTGCTCCCAAAATCTCCACAAGCCCAAAGCCCTCCCCCCCCCCGCCCCTTCACTGCAACTGTGCAGCTCCAGTGGAATCCACACTGGGACAGGTCTGGGTTGGGACTGCCCAGGACTGGGAAGAAGAACCTGGGGTGGTGGCCCTCAGGTCACCCCATCCCACCCCACAGGAGGTTTTGGGGAGGGGGTGTCACCCCTCCTCCCTCTCTTGGGAGGGGACAATCCCTGAGCAGTGACTGCCCCTGTTCAGAATGACCTGGGGCAAAACTGAACCGTCCAGCAGCTGTTCCAGAGGGATTCAGTGGGAATTCCCTGCAGTTGGAGCAGCCTGGGCCACGTCCTGCTCTCCCAGGAATTGCTGTTTATCCACCCATTACAGTCAAGGCAGGAGCCATAAATCAGGGAACCATAAATCAGGGAACCACATAAATCATAAATCAAGGTTTGGGTTGGGTGGGAGGGACCTCAAAGCCCATCCAGTGCCACCCCTGCCATGGGCAGGGACACCTTCCACCAGCACAGGGTGCTCCAAGCCCCGTCCAACCTGGCCTTGGACACTTCCAGGGATCCAGGGGCAGCCACAGCTTCTCTGGGAATTCTATCCCAGCCCCTCCCCCGCCTCCCAGGGAAAGATTTCTTCCCAATATCCCACCTGACCCTGCCCTCCTTCAGGCCCTTTTCCAGTAAGTGATGAATCCATGATATCCCTTCAGGGCCAGCTTGGAGCAACCTGGGCTGATGGAAGGTGTCCCTGCCCATGGCAGGGGGTTGGAATGAGGTGATCTTTAGGGTCCCTTCTCCCAAACCAGTCTGGGATTCTCTAATTCCATGGCCTTCTCCTAATCCCTTCAACACCCAGGTCCTTGCAGTTCTGGGGTGTCGGAGCTGCAAAAGGCAAGTCCAGGAGACACTTCCCGTTGTGTGCTGTGGAGTCTGAGCCCAGCTGGGTCAGAGGAGAGGCCAAGCTGAACCTCTGGAAAGCACCTGGGGCCTGTCCAGGTGCTGAGGTCATGGGGAATATCCCAAGAGAGCTGTAAAATTGCCATTTGAGTTCAACTGCAGCAGTTTGCAGCTGCAGAGCATCTGGCACCAAATGGAACTCCTGTCTGCAGTCCAAATGTCAGAACTGACTGACTCCTGGCTGCTTCCCAACCCAGGCAAAGCAGGATGGGCCTGGCTGCCCAAAAGCTGCTCCCTGAGCCTGCAGGCTGCTCCCACTGGAGCTGGAACAGGATGGAGCTTGGAGCAACCTGGGCTGGTGGGAGGCGTCCCTGCCCGTGGACAGCGGGTGGCACTGGGTGGGCTTTAAGGCCCTTCCAAGCCAACCCACGCTGTAATTCCACGATCCCGGTTCTTTGGCTGGATTTCTCTTCCCTTTTGAGGTGTAGCTGTGCTATTTCTCCTGTAACAGAGGTGGGTGTTAAAGGGCAGATCCTCGTCCACTCGATCCAATTCCCTCAGCTCCCACAGATCAAAGGGC